AGAGATGAGAATCTTGAATGTTTCAGAAGGCTGATTTATTATTTTATGGTATATATTATATTAAAAGAAAATTATATACTAAAACTATAGAATTGTAAAAATTCTTGTCTCCACTTGCTGCACCTCTTGTTGGGCACGTGGTGCCCAATGTGGTGGTGTTTGAGGGACGAGGGAAGAGATGAGAATCTTGACTCCATGTTTCAGAAGGCTGGTTTATTATTTTATGGTATATATTATATTGAAAGAAAATTATATACTAAAACTATAAAATTATAAAACTTTAAAATTAGAACAATTCTCATCTCTGCTTGCTGCACCTGTTGTTGAGCATGTGTCTGTGGTGGTGTTTGAGGGTCTTCAGGACAAGGGAAGAGATGAAAATTTTAATTGTTCTTTTAGGAATTTTTAGCTCCACGTTTCCCAAGGCTGCCATCCCTAAACACTTTTTGGTTTTTATATCCTTAAAAGCCACAAGAGGGAGCACAACCGTTAGAAATGACAAAATTCCAGCGACTTTCAGCTCTTCCTTCCAGAGGAAAAGGGCATGGCATCCTGTACTAGTCACCAGCAGCTCTCCTTTAACCTCTGGGCAGTTTGCTTGGCTGCAGTGGCCACAAACACCTCCAGGAACACGATAAAAACGCCTCCCCTCCCCTCACAGGCTCAAAAATACACAGCAATTCTCAGCAAGGCTACATCAGGCTTTCAATAAGACCAGAAAAATAAAATTATTGTATTTATAGTACAATTATTTCATTTGCACACACACTTTACCAGCAGGGAAACCAAAACCCACGAGCTCCACTATTCCAGAGGTCTGGAAGGATGATGGAGATTCCCTTCCTGATCCATCCCTGTTGGCTCTCTGGCACCACAAGGAATCTCCCTCATGTCCTAATGCCTTAATTCCCACTCAAAACAGATTGTTCTCCTCCTGGCAGCCACCTCTGAGCACGGCTCTCCCCTCCCCAGTTCCCACTGGTCCCTCACTGCTCACTCCTGGGCATTTCAACCCAGCTCAGCTCCTCACTCCCTTTCCAGCCATCGTCCCTTTTTGCACATCCCTGTTCCCAGAGCAGCTCTGGAT